GCGGAAGACTAAAAAATAACTAGATAAACATAAATCCAAGTCATGGGGTGTTATGCCACGTTCACCAACAAGGATGAACGCTACGGCAATATCTGCATTGTTTACAACTATCCAAAGTCTCAAAAGTCTACAACTAGAGCGGCATACAGGCAATAAAACAAACGGGAGAAGCTATGCTAACAGGCACTAGACTGTGCACTCGCCTAGACATCACCTGAAAGAACACAATAAAACATGGGATGACGCCCGGTCAACGAATAATGCTGGTAACCCACCAATACATGTGAAATATCATACATAGATAGATATAAGTTGTAAAGCCATTTTCGAAACGGAATACATAAGTATATAAGTGCAAAACCAAGAGCAACAGTCAACACAAGACTCAACACTCTCAACAAGGATATGGGAACACATCCCAAAACCACAAAGGACAACAACAACTCAAAAGGATAAAGATAAGACCAACGACAACACATGCCTTTGTGACTACACACGTCACAAGAAGAGAACACACAACCATGGCTACACAAGCCATCATGACATCACTCATCACGAGTTGATATGCCTTCCTTATGCCCGGTTCCAACCTTATGGCTACCCCCAACCTTATTTCTTCTTCCAACCATTACCTCTAGGACCCCTGTACTTCTTAGTCCAACCTTTTCCCTCCGAGGACCGTCGTCCCCATCCGCCGACAAATCTACCGATTTCATAGTACACGAGGGTACCGATCACGCACACGGCAACACATGCCTCTCCCAAGAAATACATGAACCTGACACACAGGTCACAACTCCATAATCACGTCACGGCCACCACGAGGACCGCTGCAATACCTTGGTGACTAGTGTCCCATACCACTAATCGTGCAATCCAGGTAAAGCCACACACACATCACACCTCATCAGGAATCAATCAACGGATCACAACGAAGATATGAAACCATACTCAATCAAGGAATGGGTCATAGCCCAACAACAACAACGATGAATAACACAAGTTATCATTGACCAATAGGAAGGTACAAACAACACACATGCTAGCATTTAAACACCGAACTAGCATGCTTATCAAATGGGTAAACCAAACGTAGTTCCGAAGAACACACAAGACTCATCACGGTTCAACGAAACACAATGTTGAACACTTAGCACGATTCAAGACACCAAAACCTACATGGATACCTACCATATAGTTCTAGACATACGAAACATCAAGAAGACGCTCAAATAGTTCCACAAAAGAACATCGGGAAGTCAAACGACCAAATACTGAGTCAAAAGAATCACGGGGAACAAATCCCCCAACAACCAACATAACGTACCCGCGGGTACAGGCTCCTTCACACCGTGTACCCCGCGGGTGGGCGGCGGGTTGGACCTCTACCCGTCGTTCCGCCCGCGGGTACACCCCTATACCACAATACAACATTTCGCGGATTTTCTTCTCCAAACTCAAATTCAAGTCCAAAACATGCCAAATCTTACCAAATACAACAAAATGACTTGAATCAAAGGAAATGCCAAGCAATGGCACACAAGAACCCTAAACACAAGCTCTATATATGCATTTTCACAAGATCATGCATCAACACTCACATTTCATAGCAAAACACATGTAGAATCCAAGAAATATTCACATAGGTAAGCAAAATAGATTTTGTAGAGCATGGGTTACCTCTTGTAGACTAAAGACTTCACTTTACACCTCAACAAGCTCCTCACTAGGCTCACCTTCCAAACCCACTTCAAGAACACACCAAAAGATCATAAAGATCCTATCTTTAAGAAAAGACACCTTAGATAAAACCAAAAACACAAGATGAACTTAGATCTTACCCTCCTAGATGCCCAAATATAAGAAAGGTTGAATCTTAGGAGCAACTCTTGAAGTTTTGGTAAGGTTCCAACTTGGCTTGGAAGAAAAGCTACTCACCTTTTAGAGAGAGGGTGGAGCTAGATTTTTAGAAAAGTGTAAGGATAGAATGAAGGTGGTCTACTAGGTTAGGTTACATTACCAACAACAAGTGAAAGGTCAAGAATTCCCTTACTAACATAAGTGTAAGGAACAAGGGAACTCCTTACAAAGCTTCAAGGTACAGCTTTGACTTTGGGGTTGACTAATCAATTACTAGTCCCCAAGTATTGAATTTTCAGGATTTTAGGAATTAAATCACCAATTGAAATAGGATTAATTACTCAATTAATCCATTAATTGAATTTGGATTTCGGGGTGTCACAGGCGGCATTTGGGTGACTTTGATGGCGGTGGCAAAGGCGTTGTGATCTCTAGAGATCGATGTTCAAAAGGGTTGTCGTCATTCTAACACCATCGTGAATGTGATAGTTGATCGTGATAGTCGTATTAGACCAAAAGTAGAGAGCAAGCTCGAGCCTGTATAGCTGCTCTCAACAAGAGCACCAATGATGGATTTAATTAACCCGGGGTGGCCCGAATTATTAAAGCCGGATAAGAATACGAATAGGAAATAAATAAAACGATATTGTAAAGGCCGTGAAGACTGTATATCGTATTATATGCCGTAAATAGGCTATTACAATGGTTTGCTCAGGACAAAGTATGTAAGGTAATGAAAATGAACATGTCCTGTCTAACTTAAATATAAGCTACTTATACAAAGGAAATTCCCACCAGTTAGGGCTAAATTTGTGGTGGGCCACGGGACTAAGTCAGGCCCATACGGTGGGCCACAAGACTAAGTCAAAGCCCATCATTCTGGGCCCGAAGACAAGCTCCAGGCTTGAGGCTCTTCTTGGGCTGCTCGGGTTATACATTTCCGGATCCCGGGTCCCTATTATTATTGGCTCATTTTCAATATATCCATCAGCTTAGATGTACAGTAAGATGAATAGCTGGAAGAATGAAAATGTTGTAAACTACTAGCTAGGCTCAATAGGCTCCACCTCTGGTGATGGGCCAGGTCTAGGAGGATCAGTTTTTATATCGTGGACCGCGGTGTATAATCGATTATGCACCGCGCATCAAAACGGCGTCGTTTCTTTAAGTAAAGAAACGGCGCGATGTTAGTGTTAACAGAGTGACACTACAGTGTATCTAAACCGACACTGCCTCACGTATTATTTTTATATTATCAAATGAAACTACAGTTATATCAAAATGATACTGTATTTGTGGTGAAATGAAACTGCAGTATATATAAAATGAAATTGAATAACATTTCACATATTTGAGTGTATATTGTACATTGAAGCTGTAATTATATCGAAATGATCATGTAGTTGTGTTTTAATGAAACTATAGTGTATATAAAATAAAATTAAATAACATTTTCACACGTAGGAACGTCTTCTCTCCCAATTAGGGTTTTTTCTCTCCATCTCTCCCAATTAGGGTTTCGACTTTTCCGAACGAAGGCAGCACGATCTCGGCCGGTATCCGGCAGGGAAGACGATAACAGTGATCGGCATGGCAACTCCCACACGGCAGCAGCGTGATGGTGGTGTGGCAAGGATGACGGAGCGGTGGGCTGATTTAGTTCTTGAAGATGAAGAAGAAGGGGTGATGGCCGAAGGGGTAGGGCAGTCAGTGATCGACGATATAACGACAGTTTATTCGGTCATTGGGAGATTCTTGACGGCCAAGCTAATTAAAACTGAGTATATGCGGCAGGTACTTGCGTCCGTTTGGATGCCGGTGATGGGGATGAGAGTTACGGAGATGCATGCAGGTTTGTTTCTCTTTGCTGTTTATCATGAAACAGACATGATACGGGTGCTGGAGGAGGGGCCCTGGTCTTTCGAGAACCATACTCTTGTGTGCAGACAGGTCCCAGATGGAATGCTTCCGGGGGAGGTAAAATTGGATACTGTTGATATGTGGGTGCAGGTTTATGATTTGCCGGTTGGATATACTGATAATAAAATCTTGGAGCAGATTGGGAATTATGTTGGAAAGTTCATCCGGTGTGATAACCGTTAAGTTGGTGGACCGATAAAAATTTTTTATCGGGTTCGAGTGGCGGTACCGGTGGATAAACCTTTGAAACGGCGCATGAAGTTGATCCGTAGGGACAGAACATGGGGATTGGTTAATCTGAAATATGAGCGTTTACATAATTTTTGTTTCTATTGTGGGATGCTTGGACACCTGGAGAAATTTTGTTTGAAGGCACGAGTGTCCGGTCTCACTCCGGAATACTACCCTTATGGACCGTGGATGAGAGCGAGGCAGAATAGGGGGCCCAGGCAGGTTGGTGCGGCGTGGCTATTACCACCGCTAGAGGGGACCGGATTGATGAATGGTAACCGCCAGAGAGTGGAGGGAACTGCTTCCTCCGATGATAGCCAAAGTGATATTCGGATGGCGGCATCGGATGATGATGTGGCGGAGGGTGTGGTGGCCTCCTCGAAACGCCGTCGTGCGGTGGGGGGCCAAGATGGAGGAGAGACGGATGTGGATAGTGGTTCAAAAAACTTGCATATGGCGGGAACTGGTGCCCAGTCCCGCCCGAACCAATGAGTACTTTGAGCTGGAACTGCCGTGGCTTGGGTAATCCACGGACAGTTCAGGCAGTTGTGGACATGGTGTCCCGTAAGAAACCCAACTTTGTATTTTTAATGGAGACTATGGTGGTCTGGGATCATGCAGAGAGACTCCGGATAAAGATTGAGTTTGATGGCCTTTTTTATGTTGACAATGTAGGAGTGAGGGGTGGTATGGTGTTACTGTGGAGGAAAAACAATACGGCTAGCTTGTTGGGTTAATCAAAGAACCATGTGGATGTAGAGGTGAGTATGCCAGGGTTTGATAAGTGGAGAATGACAGGATCATTTGACTCAAATTAATAATTTCGCTATAGTCGAAGGACCATTTCGGTAATTAACTCCTTTAAATATTAAATACATATTGAAGAAAATTCAGACAAGTTAAATTCAACCGTGACAGAAGTGCAGAATGATGGATCTCCATGCACAGAAGTCCACGCCACCATCTAGCGAGTCAATGAAACTCTACCCTTCTGCCGTCACCCATCAGTGCTTCTCAGAAAAGCACCGACTCTTTTCTTATCACGCTCCCCTTCTGCGACTGGGCAATACTAGTTCACATGCTATGCATTGTGTTCTTAACTATTTTTTTTTTTCAAAATCTGCAGCTCTGAATTGAAGCTATTTCTTGTTCAACCTCCAATGCATCAAAGATCTCCACCTCCTCCCTAGTCCCTACCTTCAAACCCCATCATCCAACAGACATTCTCTCTCATTTCATTACCAGTTTCAATGAGCCAATTCTTGAATCTGATTTTCTTTCAAAAACCCACCCCTTTTTAGTTGATTGTGTTTAATAGTACCCAGAATTTTGTTTTTTAAGATTTCAGTTCAGAGGCAAAGATCTGGATTAAACCCATTTGCAGACATAAATCCCAAATTTTTCCTTAGTGTCCAATCCTATTGTTTTCTTCAATACTCTCATGCCCCAAGAGTTGTATAGCAATCAAGAAAATGGGGGTAGAGAAGAAATGGCTATATGCACTCTTCTCTATAGCCTTTGTATCACTTGTAATATTCCTGTCCTGCATTTCTGGCTTTAGATCCTCATACTATGCAATCCCCTCCCACCGGTCTTTTGCCTCCACCGCCGTGCACCGTGGGCCGGGCAATCCCCCGGCCTTCGCCTACTTCATTACTGGTGGCATGGGAGACGCCGACCAGATGTTTAGACTGTTGTTAGCTGTTTATCATCCTAGGAATAGGTACTTGTTGCACATGGGAGCAGACGGCGGTGAAGAGGAGAGGGAGAGGAGGAAGTTGGGGCTGCTTGTGGAGTCTGTGCCTGCAATTCGGGCTTTTGGGAATGTGGATTTGATTGGGAAGCCAGATTCTTTAACTTATATGGGCTCAACAAACACTGCTGCAATTCTCAGGGGGGCTGCAATTTTGTTGAAGATGGAGAGTGGATGGGACTGGTTTATTACTCTTAGTGCTATGGATTACCCACTGATTACCCAAGATGGTATGTATGGATTTCCATTTAATTTGATGTTCTTATATAGCTTGCAGGTAATGGATGATGAGATTGTTTGGTAAATAGCTGTTTGATTGGGTTAGTGAGTTTGACTAGTTGATAGCATTAGATGATGGTAGAAAAGTATTTTGCTAAATTAGCTGTTAGGTAATAGCTGATTACTTTTAAGTAGCTTTTTTGTAATTTAGCATTTTGGAGCAATAAGTTGTTACCAAAATTAGTTAATCAAACACTCGTATCGATTATTTAACAAAGTCAAACAGCTAATAGTCGTCAAATAAGCCAAAATTGGTTGATAGACTAACTATTTTACCAAACAGGGCCGATATGTTTAGGTAATTGTTGGGCTGAGGTCAGTAAGGGCCAAGTCCAGCACCATGTTACGTTGTCGGTGGAGGTTGATAAAAGGCTAAACCCAGCACTCTACCTCTCGAAAATGAATAGCAGTATAAGAAAATAAAGTTGCACCTTTGCTACTAGCTATAGTTTAGTTTTTGGCGCAGTGGTAAAGGTTTGATACTCAATATTGTCTTGAATTCTTATGATTCTAAAAAGTTGTGTTGAAACTTATCATAAGTGAAAAGAGTTCTTGCAAGATTTTGTTGAATTTTTCTGTGGATTGGTATGAAGTAGTCCAGCACTACTAGCTAGAATAGTATTGCAAGGAAGATGTTTTTTGATTTCTAAACCAGACTAAAAAATTAAATCCAATCAATTAGTTAGTCTAACCCATGACCTTAAAAATTCATATATTCTTTCTTATTTTTTCAATGTGGGATTCTTAACAGATATGTTATTCATTGCTGCCCTAGAATAAAGTTTCTCCAGTGTAACATACTCCTTATAAGAATTGCAAACAATAAATTCGTAGCGTGTATTCATCATATACATACTGTATGCACTTAGGAAAAGCAATACATGTTCAGAACCTAGCCATTTCTGTTTGTACACACCAAATGAAACAGTTCACTTACCTGGTGTTGGGACAATTTTTTCACCTAAAAGAGGACTCGACAATTTAATTGAGCCCGAACTTCTTGAATAGCAAGTCTTGCTGATATCTTGATCATAAAAAGAAAATTTACGAGAGGTATAAAAGTGAGGATTTTAGTATGCTAGTCAATTGTGTCATTTTATATGATGGAAGATCTGATTATGGTTTAGCTCTATTCTGTTCATGTTCTTTTGTTATATTTTTCATTGCTTCTATATAATAAAAGCTTGTGTGCAATCTTACCGGGTCTTCTAACTTTTAGAGAACTTGTCTATATGACTTAACATTTGTAATCGTTTTTGATTTGCTTTCAGATTTATTTCACGTCTTCTCAACTGTTAAGAGAGACCTAAATTTTATTGACCATACCAGTGATCTCGGATGGAAAGAGTAGGCAATCCCGCTAATTTGTAGTAAATGATATGGATATATAGTATGTGCCCAAAATTCTAATGTTTTATTTTATGCAATGTCATTGCAGGGATCAACGGATTCGACCCATAATTGTTGATCCTGGGATTTACTTGACAAGGAAAACCCAGATTTTTTATGCCACTCAGAAAAGACCTATGCCTGATTCTTTCAAAGTCTTCACTGGTAACATTCTCCTCTTTGCATATACTGTTAATTAATCTTCGTTACCATTGATTAAGATTTATCGTTTTCCAGGCTCTCCATGGGTTGTTTTAAGCCGTTCCTTTCTTGAGTTCTGTATTTTGGGTTGGGATAATCTTCCCAGAAGGCTTCTGATGTATTTTACTAACTCCGTTTTGTCACAAGAGTTCTATTTCCACTCTGTTATTTGCAATTCGCCCGAGTTCAAAAACACAACAGTTAATGGTGACCTGAGGTATTTTGTTTGGGATAATCCACCTAAGATGGAGCCCCACTTCCTAAACGCCTCGGATTTTGACGGCATGGTTCAAAGCGGTGCTGCTTTTGCAAGGCGGTTCAAGAAAGATGACCCGGCACTGGATATGATTGACGAGCATATCCTCCATCGCAGCCCTAACCAAGTCACTCCGGGTGCGTGGTGCACTGGCAGGAGGAGCTGGCTGATGGAGCAATGCTCAAAATGGGGCGATGTCAATGTTTTGAAGCCGGGACCTCAAATGGAAAAGTTGGGGTCATCCGTAAACAAGCTCCTCGACGACTGGAAATCACAGTCAAATCAATGCAGATGACTGCTGTCAAGGTGCAATTTTGGTCCTTTTCCTACAATTCATTTTTGGGCAATTCTTCAAAGTCGGGTACTTTTGGTTCTGTTTTTCTGGGTGATGATAGATGTCATAATATCGTGGGTAATGGTGATCTAGACATTGTGTATGTTGGCTTACTGAACTAGAAAAGGTTGTTGTTTCTTAAAATTCTTGGTCCCTTACAGATATGTATAAAATCATGCATTGTTGTATATTACCCATTCTTTGCAATATGGAGAAAGACTTGTATTGGTAAGTAGGGGTTAAATGCAATAGTTTTGAGTGTTGAAGCTGAGTTTAAGTTTTATGACAGAACACCATCAGTTGTGGCATTTATGAGTGTGTTCAATGTAACTCAAAATTGAATTCATATAGTGTGTTCAATGTAACTCAAAAATGGCATTTTAAAACTTCGCGAATAAGGATTACAGAGGATCAATATTTCAAGACATTAACTGAGTCAGCCACAGCGCAACCTCAGTGTCTAGGCAGCACAAAGCAACAAGCGATGAGGATGATTGTTGGAGATTACATTTAAGGATGTTGGTTTTTGCCTTGCTATTTGTCCCACATTGATTTCTTAGAGACACATTTCTCATCATTTAAATGTCACTCATTTTGGAGTCTTTGAAATCTTTTCATGAGAGGGAAAGGAGGGGTTCCTCCGTGCGTGCTATCGCATGCGTGGTGGGGTTGAAGTTTTACGCGGCAATTATTTTTTGTCCGAATTTTCCGCTACTCCACAAAATTATTCTTAGTCTACGCACTCAGAATAGAGTCTGTGACCAAGAGCAAAATCAGTACGTTAGTGGGCAATTGTGAACGCAACTTGTGTTCCTCCCTCTATTTTTTCGGATATTTGTGGCTGGTACAAGGAAGTCAGGTATTCTCATTACTATAAATATCTGCCTTCCCAGACCTCGTTTTTACACACTTGAAAAATAAGCTTTATAGCTCAGTTGATACGTATCTCTCAAAGTGCAAAGAATACGTGAGCTCTTCTGTGTTAGCCAGTCGAAAGCGCCCAGATAAAAAGACCGCACAGTCTCCGGATTAAGCTTTTAAGGCAGTGTCCTGCACACGTTACAGAATATTCCTATACACTCTATCCAGCCTATAAAAAAACGTAGTCTATACAAATCCCTACGACATTTTCCCAAATTCCACAACAATTAAAAGCTTAATCATGAAAATGTCGTCTCTGTTATCCAAGCCCGCCGCTGAACTTACAAAGATTGAACCACTGAACGGTATCAATTACTGCAGGTGGGCAGTGAAGATGATGGTGCACTTCGAGACACACGAGGTTGATTATGTGCTCACCAACAATGCAATTCCTGCTGCAGCAACTCCGACAACACCTGCTGGAGATGACCTCGAGACCACATCAACTGAAAATATAACTCCAGATCCGAAGGCATCTGCGACTGCGTCGGCATCATTAGGGTTCAGACCACCCTCCGGCGAATTTTTCGACAAAAAAAACTGATTGGTGACTGACCGACAGAATTTTCGGCGACCGACGAACAGTCGCCGGTCACGGAGAAGACACCAAGGTCGCATTCTCCGGCGAGAAACGACCCAGATTTGGATCACCTTCTCGCTGGAGAAGGCAACCCAGATGTGGTGCCTTCTCCGGTTAAGAAGACGACCATCTAGGTCGCCTTCTCAACAAAAGAAGGCGACTACCGGGTTGCCTTCTCTCCAGAGAAGACACCCAGATCTTGTCGAAAATTCTGCCGGTCGGTCGCCGACTAGTTTCTTTGCTAGAAAATTCGCCGAATGGCGGCCTGAACCCTAATGACCCGTGATAATAGGTCATTAGCCTATTTTTGGACATCATTGCACTTAAATAAATTGTTGATGGGTGTAATTGCACTTTTAAAAAGTGTAGGAGACTAATTGACTCTTTAACTAAAGTTCAAGGGCCTATTTGACCCATTTCCCAAATATTTTTAACGTGAAAATCGAAAGATTAAAACCACGAGTTTTTTTCGGCAATGCCAAGCCAAAATCCACTATCTTCGTAAGTAGTTTTATACATGTACCATTTGGATCTCACCTCCCTTCTTGTTAGAAAGTAGAAGTCGAACCCCTTGTTATAAAGTAGCAATGGAGAACCCTCTTTTTTCCCTCTCATAATGTGACCCCCGTAGGGTATTTATACATAGGCAGCTAGTCCAAAGAAAGGAATTGAAAGAAAATGATTTACAAATTTAACTTAGGCAGCCATTATAAATTGGGTTTTGGACTCCATCCTTAGGCATGAGGTTAGGAAATATGGTAATAGATCTTCTAATAGTTCTAGGGTACTAATATGGATTCTCACTTCGCTGTTGGCTGTTGGGCCGACCATTTGCCCGTCTTGATTGCCTAACAAATAGCAATGCCGACTGGGTACCCGGGACGGCCGCAAATTATGCTGTGCAACCGAATGCACCTTGCAAGGTGCATACGGTTGCAAAACGGCGCCGTTTAGGTTTAAAAAAACGTGCATCCCATTTAAAGAAGAAATCAGGTTCGATTCTCGGTAATAGCATTTTTATATATCTAGAAATTCATAACTATATATCCACAGTGAATGAATGAAGTAAAAACCCACAATGAATGAAAGAATGAAATAAAAATCCACAATGAATGAACTAAATATCCACAATGAATGAACTAAATATCCACAATGATTGAACTAAATATCCATAAATTCATAACTATATATCCACAATGAATAAATGAAGTAAATATCTACAATGAATGAACTAAATATCCACAATGAATGAACTAAATATCCATAAATTCATAACTATATATCCACAAATTTATAACTATATATCCAGAAATTCATAACTATATATTCACAATAATGCTATTGCTGAGAATCGAACCTGATTTTTTTTTTTTAAGTGGGACGCGCGTTTTTAGTCAAAATGACGTCGTTTTGCATCGTATGCACCATGCACATGGTACATTCGGTTGCACAACATAACTATTGCGGGACGGCGGGACCGGGTATCCATTAGTAGCATTATTCGATCAGATTATAATGCTTAAGTGAAAAAATACAACTCAACAAGCACTCAGGATTGGATTTTGGGCTGTACAAACTGGGCTACCGCACATGGCCTCAAATTTTAGAAAAACTCCAAATTTTAGAGGCCCAATATTTCATTTTTACCTAGCTAGTTTAGAAATAAAAACTAAAAGTTTTCAATTAAATTTAAAAGGCTCTATGAAGAAATGGTAGGAACATGTGATTATTATTATTATTATTATTATTATTATTATTATTATTATTATTATTATTATTATTATTATTATTGTTGTTGTTGTTGTTGTTGTTGTTGTTGTTGTTGTTGTTTATTCCATAATATGTTTTTCGGCTTTTTCTTTGCGCACAGTAACATTTTACCACCTTCTTATTATTATTATTATTATTATTATTATTATTATTATTATTATTATTATTATTATTATTATTATTATTATTATTATTACTAGTTCTTTTACGTGCTTTGCGCGAATGAAATAATGCCCAATGATTATTTTTAAATAAGTATTTCAAAGTATATCAATGCAATATTATATCGGACATCATGAATAGGTAAATAAATATTGAATTTGTTTAAAGTATATAAATGCAAGATAATATATGAGAGATTGATTTTATTGTCACTAATAAAATAAATGTTTGCAACTTTGTAATAACGTTAGTCTAAATAATTAGTCTAAAAACGATAGTCTAAATAAATATTACTTTTGGTTTAAATTTCTCTAATTCTTCTTAATTTTCTTTTGGGTAACATTGTCATTGTCTTCATCTTCAGTACATGTCCTTTTTTTTTTTTTATATTTTTTTTTTATTGGTAGTGTGTCATGTGCAATTAGGTTACTGGTGGTAGCATATACGGATTCATCGTGCAATAAGATTATAGTGTAGGAAGCTTTAGATTTGCCTTGTTGGGTATATGATGGGATCTTAGTTGTACTATTAACTCTTTATCTTACAAGCATCTATTAATATTTAGTAGTGGTAGTTTTTCCCCTACATGTTTCATGCATTGTGAGATGTGTGTTGTAGGTTATCATGCGAAAGTATTGAACAAAATATTAATATTTATTATATTTATATAAAATACTTGGTAAATAAATATATATAACATATTTTGTATTATAACTTTGATATTTAATTACAAGATAATGTAAAAAGAAGACAATGGACAATGTAGTGAATATAATAAATTAATAAATTTGAAGGTAATGAACCTTTGAATTGTAGAAAATAAAGATAATATAACTAATGAAATTATATCTCTTTTTAAATTTTTTATAATGAATAATTTTTTTTTTAAATAAAAGCATTATAGACATCTAATTTTAAATTAATTAAATGCATATGTATTATTTTTAATTTTTTTTTGTAGTTACTACTTTATTTAATTTAATAATAGTAATAAAGTGGCGTACATACTTTTCATCAACAATAATGAAATCATTGATTTTTTTTTTTAAGTTGCATTCGTTGTTGAGACAATTGTTTTTAGAGTTTGTCAATGACAATCGTTACAATTCTTGTCAATAGAAGATGACAATAAATAATTCAAAATATATAGTTACAATAGATATTGTTATAATACCAAGACTATGTGGTCTAATGGTACCTAGGTTGGACATTCATTTAGAAGATTATGAGTTCAAGCCTAAATGGAGGCGTTATAAAAAAAATAGATATTGTTATAATGATATAATAAAAATTAACTTAAAAATTTCTTTAGAAGTTTTCATGCATTGATAAAATGCTGATGTGTAAACTTGTTGGAGCCAGTGGGATGTCAACATTGTTAATTCGTTAGAAAATGATCATACCGTTTTAGAGTATAGGTGTAATTGTATTTAGAGTTAATTACCGAAGTGGTCCCTTGACTATAGCGAAATTACCAATTTGGTCCTTGACTATTTTTTTTAACCAATTAAATCCCTCAACTTTAAAAATCTTAACCAATTTGGTCCTCCGTTTGTTTGACCGTTAGTCAACAGTTAACTTGGTACCAAATTGGTAATTTTGCTATAATCAAGGGACCATTTTGGTAATTAACTTTAGGGGTGGGCAATTCGGTTTAGTTTTCTCGAACTGAACCGTACCAAATCGAACCGAACTAATTTGGTTTGGTAATATACCGAACAACCAAACGGTATTAGATTCTTGTATACCGAACGGTTTGATAAAAAATCGATCCGAACAGATCCGAATTGTTCGGTTCGAGTTTTTATCAAACCGTTCGGTATACAAGAATCTATTACCGTTCGGTTGTTCGGTATATTACCGAACCTAACTAGTTTGGTACGGTTCGGTTCGAGAAAACTGAACCGAATTGCCCACCCTTAAAGTTAATTACCAAAATGGTCCCTTGACTATAGCAAATTACCAATTTGGTCCCAAGTTAACGGTTAACTAACGGTCAAACAGACGGAGGACCAAATTGGTTAAGATTTTTAAAGTTGAGGGACTTAATTGGTCAAAAAAATAGTCAAGGATCAAATTGGTAATTTCGATATAGTCAAGAGACCATTTCGGTAAGAGTAAATATCTAAAATGGTCCATCGATTATAGCTAAATTCACAAATTGGTCATCGACTTTCAATTTTAACTAATTAAGTCCTTAACTTTGTAATTTTAGCACAATTTGGTCCTCTGTCTATTTGACCGTTTGTTGACTGTGATTTTTGAGGATATATATGTACTTTCATGATCCATAATCAGTTTTTTAAGGTTCCGATTGCATTTCCAGACCGCACTGTTACATTCGAATCCACTGCCGAAAGCAATCTACCAAATCCTGTCGCCTTTCTTCATCCTCCCTTTGGATTCAATGTAGTTGAGTTCGTACCAGAGCGAAGAAGACGACGTGTTTCCGAACCGGTGCAATGTCATCCTAGAGGCCTCCACGTGCTCCGACGAGAGCTGAAGGTTTTTCTGGAGATCGTCGATCACGGTCAACAAACGGTCAAATAGATAGAAGACCAAATCGTGTCAAAATTGCAAATTTAAGGACTTAATTGGTTGAAATTGAAAGTCAAGACCAATTTGTGAATTTAGCTATAGTCGATGGACCATTTTGGGTATTTACTCTTTCGGTAATTAACTCTTGTATTTACCATCAACAACTTTGTGGTTAGGTCGCGCAAGCCTAACAATGATGTAAGAACAATTTTGTCTGATAAAAAAATAATAGTATAATATTTGTAAAGTAATGTACAATTGTACCATTATAAAAATACATGCAAAAAATATTAATACCATAACGACCTAAATCATACCAATAATGCAAAAGTATAATTGAAATATTAAGTTTTGTTCTGATCTAAATAATCAAAAGAAGATTAATTAAATGTAAAAAAAACTTAACCTAAATTTGTTTTTTTTTTTAGATGCAAAAAAAAAAAATCAAATGATTTTTAAAGTTCTTGATTTATAATCTTTGATGTTTAATTTTGAATATTATGTATTTAGCCGGACTAATTATTTGAACAAAGTTTATGTTAAATTTTATATTATATATATTTTTTAAATATATTTTAACATATTCGTAGTATATGTTTAACAATTATGAAAACTCTAATTGGGATGTAATTCGAACCTAAGACCTTTCTTATAGAATTTCATGAGTAAGTTAAAAATAATAAATAGTTAACGGATAGTAACGGAATTTAGGTTATTTAAGAGAAAAAAAATAATATAATAGAGGGTAAATAAGGAAAATCATTAAAAAAAGTACTAAAAACAAAACAATATGAACCATTCATTTTAAGAAATAATACTACCAACATTTTTTTGTTCCAGTTAAGGGTTTAACATTATTGGTTTTTATTAGAATTGTAGATTAGAAATTTTATTAGAATTGTAGATTAAAAAAACTTACGGTATTAGTTTTAAAAATTTTGATTTTAATAGAGCTTCATTTATTTATCCGAACAGGACCACAAAAATCTAAAAAACCGACCCTTTAAGTAGTACACACTCTTAGTTGTAAACCACGGAAACATAGCTCATAATAGAGCTATGGACTAATGATGATGAGAAAGATGGCTGAAGGAAGAAATAGTAATGAAAACGATGTTATGTTTATTAGTCAAGTTAACCATTTTTTCTTGACTTTTTTTTTTTTCTTAATTTAAAAAAAAAAAATAATATTGAATAGTAAAAAACCCCGCCGCGCACATGGTATTCTTTCCCCCACATTTCTCTATATATCTCGGCCGATTCGAATTTTGGGCATATCATCTCAAATGGGTCTCTCTCGCGTCTTTTCCCGCTTAGCTAAAACCCCTCTAACTTCTCTTTATGCTTCCCCAAAACCCTTCAAAAACCACTCCCAAATTCACCCCAATCTCCATAACTTCACTCAGTATCTGCATGCACCTCAATTTAACCGCATTATCTACGCTTTTTATCGATCAATCCATGAAAGATCAGTAAACCCCCATCCTAATAACCAAACCCCAGATTCCAAACCCCAGAAAATCATTGAAGAAACAGATCACATCTGCAAAATAGTGCTAAACCATCGCGCTTCGCAGAAAGACTTTAACTCTAACCTCAACTCTGCCTCCGTAGTTCCATCTCCGGCATTGGTTGCCGAGGTTTTGAAAAGGCTTAGTAACTCCGGCATTCTCGCGTTGTGGTTCTTCCGGTGGGCCGAGAAGAAGGATGGGTTCCAGTACACAACCCACAGCTATCATGCTTTGATTGAAGCTCTGGGGAAGATCAAACAGTTCAAGATGGTCTGGATTTGTGTTGACGAAATGAAGAAGAAAGGGGTGTTATCAAGAGAGACTTTCGCCCTCGTATCGAGGAGATTCGCTCGGGCTAGGAAGGTAAAGGATGCGATAAAGGCGTTTGAGATGATGGAGAACAAGTACGGGATGAAGGTTGAGCTACAAGACTTCAACAGATTGTTCGATACTCTGTGTAAGTCCAGGGCCGTTGGGAGAGCACACCAGGTGTTCGACGAATGGAGGCACACAAAGTTCAGCCCAGATATCAAGTCTTATACTATACTCTTAGAAGGATTCGGGGAAGAAAGGAATCTGCTGAAGCTTAACGAAGTTTATCGTGAAATGAAGGATGCTGGGTTTGAGCCGGATGCTGTGAGCTATGGGATCATGATCAATGCTTATTGCAAGGCTAGGGAGTATGGTAAAGCAGTAGAGATGTTTCATGAAATGAAAAGGAAGAAGATTGAACCCACACCTCATATATATTGCACCCTGATCAACGGGTTGGGCTCGGTGAAGAAGCTGAGTGAAGCTCTCGAATTCTTTGAGCTATGTAAGAGAAGCGGTTGTGTGATCGAGGTGCCTACGTATAATGCTTTGGTTGGGGCATATTGTTGGTCATCACGAATGGATGATGCATACCGGATAATTGATGAGATGAGAGCAAGTGGGATCGGTCCAAATGCCCGAACATATGATATAATTCTCCACCATCTGATAAAGGCTCAGAGAATAGAGGCGGCTTATTCGGTTTTCCAGAAAATGGAGAATGATCCCAGGTGTGAGCCAACAGTGAGCACGTACGAGATCATCGTGAGGATGTTCTGTTGCAAGGAGCGCATCGATATGGCTATGGCTATGGCTATGAGGGTTTGGGATAAGATGAAAGGTAAAGGAATCCTTCCAACCATGCACATGTTCTCGACGCTAATCAACAGCCTTTGCCAGGAGAATAAAGTGAATTTTGCCTGCAAATACTTTCAAGAAATGCTCGATTTGGGCATTAGGCCTCCCCTCGCATTGTTCAGTAATCTGAAACAAGCTCTCCTAGATGAAGGCAAAAAAGATACAGTCATTGCATTGGCTGAGAAAGTTGAGAAACTAAGGAAAACTCAATTGGTTGGTTAAAAACTGAATTTCGCAGCCATTGAATTTGAATTTTCTTCATTTACTTGTGATGATTCTCTATATGTTTTCTTGTTCTTCCATGATCTCTCATTAAGATTTGAAACAACCATAAGAACTACTTTCTTGAAATAAGATTTCATGATGCAGAATTCACCTGTACAGTCAACATATCAGCAGATCACTTGAAACAATGAGACATGAAACTATTTGGTAAGAATCAGAAGCAAAAGCCTTACAGATCCAAGGAAGGAGAAACCTCAATGTAACTCCTATTTTTCAAAGTAGATTCAGTTCTGATTCCGAATTCATCTGGCAGGGGAATCATCTCATTCAGCCCATGAATCACAACCCAGTCATTATGATACATATCTGGAATTGAAATTCGAATCCCATTCACGAAAACCTCGCCATTAGCACTTCTTACATTCATGCTAAACTGCTTCACATAGTCCTGGAAAGCTGCTCCACTACCCCGCCCAAGCTCATTCAGCTCTGTCCAATTCAAAGCGCATGGCAACACATGTCTCATCAACACTAACTGATACACCATTAAATCGCCGGAAAACTGAATCAATGCCCCGTCTACCGGAGCAAAAACAGTCAGATTAATAGGTGGAGTGTTCATAAACCCTAATAACTGCAAATCCAGGAATGACGCCATTATCGAATACCCCCTCGATTTCAGCACCGCGGAGGCCACATTTAGCATCGAAAATTGGCGCAATTTGCAGTCGGGTATATGCAGAGAGCTAGGGTTGATTGGAGCGGGCACTGGTGGTGTGAAATTGGCGGCAAAGAAATCATCGACGGTGAACACGATTACAGAGCCATCGTCGAATATTGGCGAGGTGGAGATCTTGACGCCGTTGATGGAGACGTGAGAATCGTCGGAGGAGGAGGACGAAGCGCTAATGTAGAGGGAACTGGAGGGGGAGAGATTGGGGATTTCGGAGCCTAGAGGGAGGGAACTGAGAGCGGAGATAGAGAGGGCGAGAGGGGAGAAGTGGAGGAGGAGATGACGCAGCGACGGCTGGCCGACGGCAGCGAAGATGGAGTCCGGCGGAGAGAAGATGGTGAGAGTGGTGATGGTGTCATCGGTGGAGTGGATGAGAGTTTCCGCAATGAGCTCAATAGTGAGAGACATGGCGATGTAGCCGGAGTCAGAGAGAGTGTCGACAGCGTTAGTTAGGGCTTGAGACTGAGAGGTGTGAATTTGGGCGACGGAGAAGGAGAAGAGGCCGACGACGGCGACGGCAACGGCGGTGGCGAGAGAGAATGATTTGGAGAATGCCATTTTTGTTGTGTTTATAACTGATGGAAGATCGAGGAGTGAGGAAGCGAAGAAGAGATTTCAGATTTGTTTCTTTTGGTTGTGTTTTGGCGGGTAATCGTTCCCAGGGAGACGTAGATGAATTGGATTTGGATTACCAAATTAATTTCTTTTATTTATTTATTTTCTTCTTCTTTCCTTTTATTTTATTTTTTCTTTTCTTCTATCAAAGATTCGAGAATGATGAGATTTCAACACAAATATATTGGCCGAAACCAACTGAATGATTCCATTTTCATTTTGTTATCAGTTATCGATGTTTATATTTTGAGAAATAAGAGTTAAATATGTTTTCTTTTTCTTTTTTCTTACGGGTAAATGTAAATTGTATATATGTACCCAGAAATATACAAAAACACAGGGCATACCCAGGTCTAAAACGGAGAGTCAATAAAGCAAGTTGAGCTATATAAATTATGAACGTATATGACAACGTTATTAAACAGAAAATCAGGAAAAAAAAACAAATACAAGAACAACGGAGAGAAGGATCAACCAACATGTCGTGAGGAAGAAGTCCATTTCCAACATATCCAAGATGAGGAAATGGATGTCCTTCCAAACGAGATCCTCTCCGATAAGCAAAAAACAAAAACTGCCCACGGGGCTAAGCATTATGTCCCCAGGAACCAAAAAAAAAAAACAAAAAAAAAAAAAAACTGGCACGGATGCACCAAGAGGAACCACCATCCAAGTATTGGTTGAGCCGTCCAACGAGAACAAAATATGCACAAATAACCCTTCTTGCATTTTGTGAGAAGAGCAAGTAAACAGACCCAAAACCTATGTACAAAGTAGCAAGGCTGAAATGCCAAACAACACCTCCAAGAGAACAACAAGTGATTCCTGGTAAGATCCAGTCCAAACTCCCGGGATGACTTGGACAGGGGTAGTCTGAACTACCTTCCCCACTTTTAGCAAGTGAGCAGCTAAAAACAGAATTGAAATAACTCTTTATCGGATCACCGTTAGGTCGGGCTAGTAAACTGCACTCCGTCAGTATATACGGGGTAAACTACTACCATCCCAACTTTAGACAAGTTGGCAAGTGTTTAAACGCAAGTCCAAAGAACTTGCCCAAGAAAGAGTGGGCAAAAAAAAGAACTTGGAAAGGAGAGCAAAAGGAAACTAGCCAAACTGTGCTAAGGAAAGAAAAGGAAAAGAGAGAATAGGATTCCTAAGTCAAAGAGAGGACGGTGGGTTCCGAAAGAGAGACCAAAGCTGTAGCAAACTAAGAGAAGAATTAAGCGAAAAAATGCCCAAGAGTGAAAGAAGCATGGGCGAACTCCATAAGGGAGTCGGTAAAAATGGATCAGGAGAAGCAAAACAAACCCAAGCTATGAACCTGATAACCTCATGGTTAGGGTGAGAATAGAAAAGGAAGCCAAGCATGCAAAAAGAACACCACCATTATGTAGCGGTAAAGTGAAAAAATCATGGTTGCAGTAGGCGATAGGCGCTAGTCGGACGGTAAAGTAGCGCCTAGCGCTTAGACGGCCTAAGCGGCGCCTAGGCGGGCGAATATGCGACTAACTAAAGAAAAAAAAAACAATGCACGAGTGTTGGTATAAAATGGATCAGGAGAAGCAAAACAAACCCAAGCTATGAACCTGATAACCTCATGGTTAGGGTGAGAATATAAAAGGAAGCCAAGCATGCAAAAAGAACACCACCATTATGTAGCGGTAAAGTGAAAAAATCATGGTATAACTAAAGAAAAAAAAAAAAAAAACAGTGCACGAGTGTTGGTATATATATTGGATATTTCGTTGGTGGGAAGGAAAGATGAAGAGATTGGTTCGTATATTCTCTTTGTGGACACGAGATTAGGCTTGAGCCAAGTCTTTTTAATCTCATTTTGGGATTTGATTTGTACCCCTCTGTGCACGAGAGAGAACCTCTATGCTATACATTCAATAAGCATTTAAAAGACTCTTGTATAAATAGTGGGGAAAATCCTCTTCCCAAACCAATGTGGGACAAAAGCTCACTTTTTCCCTTCATTTTTCCAACTCAATGGGTCTACTTTGAGAATCAATATCTCATTCACCATTATCCTTTTTGACCGTACAATATATCAATCTCTTCGTCTCACTACGAAGAACCCGAATCCACTTTGACCCGACCCAAATCGGAAATGGACCCCACTGATAATTGTACCACAAAATAGCCACTTAACATGCCATTTTATATCATTTTAAGCTATTTTTTCCAACAATCCCCCACATGAATGAAAAATTGATTTTCAGGGTATTTGGAAATCGGAAACAACTGTGTTCAAACGGTCGATCACTGCATAGGATAGGTAGGGGGTACCGCACCCTTTGAACCTTCCCTTGTGAAGATATGTTTACTTTACTAGCTGTACGGTAGAACGCGATGTCCTTGAACCGACTGCCGTTTGTGTAGACGATGACATATCTCACATAGGAACCTCCCAACTGTGCTCTGTTCTCATGAGTGTGCCCGTTTTGGTCATGGGTCACCATTCCTGATTCTGTGAGAGTTTCTAAAGAATTGTGCCCAACAATTCTCCTTTGAAGCGACCCTCACTTCTCTCTAACATAGGTGATTCTTTCTTGAGTATCCCGCATACTCACACATGTCAATCGACATTTGAATCATTAAAGCATCAACATGCTAGCTTCGTGCGGGAGTCACTGTTTCAACGAGGAGTGGTAGGGAGTTTGAGACCCCCACAGTGACACGCTCCGTTCCATAATTTAGTTGTCCCGTTGAACCTAGGTGCCAGCTAGGTTGGGTATCCACTATAGAACTTTTTAGTCCAAGGGCTTTAGAACTATTCCTCATGTCAACTTCTCCACAACTTCTTTGCCTAACCCTTTGGTCAGCGGATCCGCTATATTGTCTTTTGACTTTACGTAGTCAATCGAGACAACACCAGTTGTGAGAAGTTGTCTAATGGTATTATGTCTACGACGCACATGTCTAGACTTACCATTATACATATGACTCTGTACTCTCCCAATTGTGGCTTGACTATCGCAATGCACACATATTGGAGGTACTGGTCTTTCCCAATTCGGAATATCCTCTAGAAAATGGCGTAGCCATTCAGCCTCTTCACAACCTATGTCCAAGGCTATCAGCTCAGATTCCATCGTGGATCTAGCTATTACAGTTTGCTTAGAGGATTTCTATGCAACGGTTGCACCGGCTAGTGTAAACACATAGCCACTCGTGGACTTAGAGTCCTTAATATCAGATATCCAGTTCGCGTCGCTATACCCTTCAAGTACAACGGGATATCTCCCGTAGTGCAGTCCAAGGTCACGAGTATACCTCAAATATCTCATAATCTTTACTATTGCCTTCCAATGCATAGCACCGGGGATACTCGTATATCTACTGAGTTTACTAACCGCAAAGGCAATATCCGGCCTAGTACAGCTCATAAGATACATCAAACTACCAATAACCTGAGCATATTCCACTTGTGAAATACCTTCTCCGTGGTTCTTGGTTAGATGAACGTTTGAATAAAACGGTGTTCTAGCCAATTGACTATCATCCTTGTTAAATTTCTCAAGAGTTTTGTCAATATAATGTGAATGGCTCAACAAGAGACCATCAGGTCTTCTAATGATTCTAATTCCAAGGATTAAATCAGCCAAACCCATATCCTTCATGTCAAATCTCGCATTTAACATGTTTTTGGTAGACTTGATCATCCGATCGTTACTACCAATGATGAGCATGTCATCTACGTAT